TGTGTAAAAGTCAATTCTGTTGAATGGAATTTGTCAACTTTGGTGTTGAAATGCATGTGCTGTCTTGTTGGCAATAATATGCTTCAACATTGTGCTATAATGAGCATGAGCATTCGTACTAATGATAGGCGTCAACTTTTATGGAAGATATATCATCCAAAAATATGATTGTTCTGGTATAGATCTTGAACCATATCAAAGTTGGATAACTTCTATAGTCAAGTTTAGAACAGCCAAAAGTCCCACTTTAGTAAATTCATAATCAAACCAAATGCATCGATGATATAAACTCAACAACATTTAAAACAATTTAATATAAGGTCAAACGACTCTAAATCAAGTACTTCGAGAATAATTGAAACTTAAGAAATTAATTAGATAACTAAATGATCTCTACTCTTATATTCTCATAGTTAAATCAAGTGTCTTGACAAGATGATTCTAACTCGTCTAAGATCACTTAAAGCACTAAAACACTAAAAATTGCATTTTGACAAATGAGTTAAATCCAGGCTATCTGATGGAGCATTTTAAATCTTAGTGCTAAATATATAGAACATCACTCTAAAAAATATATAAATAAACTTTCATTTTTTATAGAGGGCGTGTAGATAAAAGATTAAGAAGAGCTTAAAAGCTTTGAGGATTTTTATTCTCTACTTGATCAAAATAATCACATTATTTTAACATATCTATTACTATCAGAACAACGCCACCCATCCATTGTCATTTGCTTATTTTCACTCATCCATGATTAACACATTGTCATCACCTAACCATCATCATCGGCCCACCATCACTCATCTATTATTATTGGAACATAGCTCCCTAACCCCTATGTTTAAGATTATTATTATCATATCACTACTAGTGAATTGTTGTCGCCCCACCATCATTAATGGACTATTGCCGTGCATCCATTGCCATTGGACCATCATTGCCTTATTACTGCCATCAATCTGCAACTATCCAATTATATTTATAAGTCCAACAACACCCATCAATTGTCATTAGACTATCATTAGACCACCTCTACCCATCTACACTTCTTGGATCTTCCTTCTCCATCCCCATTGAGCCATTTTTTTCAAACCTCCCTTATCAGACCAATATCATTAGATTGTCATCATCATGAATCTACCACCATCATTTGACTAGTTCCAACAACACATAACTATGATTGTTTGACGTTTGTTGTCTTTTTATCATCTCTTTATATTCATTTCCTAATTACAATTGCCCGAAATTTGTTATCCAACTCATTTTATCACACTATGCTCACTCAACCTCCATCTCTTGTTCATGGTTGTTAAACCTCCATAGCTATTTACATTGGCCCAACCTATATCACCCATTTATGGATACTAAATCACCAACATTTAGCTACTATCGTTGAACTATAGTCTCTTTAATTTTTGAGACCTGTTCGTTACAAAACAACTATCGCTTGATTATGATTACTTAATCACATTAATCTAATTAGGTTTCTAGACCAGTGTCCAAATAGCAACATAATACTTGTTACCATTGTTAGATAATGCTTGCTAGAGTACCATCAATTGTCTATGCTTGCCCTTTTATGATTGCTTGACCTCTATCTTCTATTTATGATTGTTTGATTGCCATTGCATGACTATGATCATTTGGCTACCATGATTATAACATTTCTTTATCATTGTCTACAATCACCGTGATATAGTCACTTAATTACAATGTTTATTTATCAGAATACCACGATGGTTATGTGATCTTCATCGTCTATTCATGTTAAAAAGATTATGGTTTATTGTCTACAATCGCTTAAATTTTATCTATAATTTATGGACACCTATCCTTTATTGCTTGAATATGATCAAACAACTACGATGTGTTGGCTATGATTATTCTAAAATAATTAACTAATTGTAATCACCTGACCATTGGCTCTCATTTATTGGTTACAATTCCTCTGCTACCCATCCATAGTCATTCGATTATGATCGCTCGTTTTATAGTTGTTTAATAGTTCATTGTTTCTCGCTAAGCTCTTTTGACAATAAGCACTCACTTGCTTCTTCCCAATCGCTTATAAGATCATGCACATTATAAAGTCATTTCATTGCCTATAATGTTGATATACGTTGTTGCCATATATCATCACTTATAAGATTGATACACAATGTTAAGAAAAAAATCATCGTTTGTAAATTTTGCCACCTCTCATTGATATAAACATTAGCTGAGATGGTTAATGCATGCCATCCACACCATACAAAAATCATCGTTTGTAAATTTTGCCACCTTTCATTGATATAAACATTAAGTTGTATTATAGCTGAGATGGTTAATGCATGCCATCCACACCATATCATATCGAATCTTTTGGTCTCTTCACTTATCTTCTTAAAGGAGAACAATTAAACAAGCTATAATACACTCCATTGAACACAAATCCTAAGTCACTAACATCCTTCAACTTTCATCTCATTATGTACCATGCATAATCTATTTTATTATGTTCTATGAGAATATAAGAGTATTGAAAACCAAAAGTAAACTTAAAGGTCTCTCATATAGAATATTTCATTTAGCCTCATTTCATTCTCTTAAATGTGTGAAAATATTGCCTATTATGGATTTATATAGAGGGATATTACTATCATTTTCACTAGGAATCAGAATACTTCATTATATAGTGTTGTTTATTGGCTTTGATGATATAATTTTTTTCTTGAGCATTTAATTATCTAAATGTCTAAATTAGATGATATTGGGCTTGTAAAATTTATTTTTTTAGATGCATATTTTGACTATAAATTCATTGAAAAATTACTCAGACGACACTTAAGATGATTACTAATTCAAATACTTGCATCAATAAACCGTTGAAGTTTATGGTGATGTATCAATAGCAAAGTAATTTATATTATAAAATATTGTATCATAAGACTTGGTTGTCAAAACGAGCCATAGTGGCTGCTTGGTTAAGGCTTAAGTTAAATTAAGCCACCAAAAGTTCTTAAGTTAAATTAAGAATCCGTTTGGGACCACGGAATGGGAGCGTCGCGGTCTCAGGCTGCGAAATTCTGTCGTTTGGCGAGGCGTCCTCGCGGCGGGACACAATTAGGGTAAAAAGCCGGCCACGGGATCGATCCCGCGGCACAACTTTCTCGTTCGATTTTTTGCGCATTACCCCTCCTCGTTCATTTGCCTTGCGCTCCTTCGCTTGACTCCGGCTTGCACTCCTCCCTCACTATCGACTCAGGTATCCTCTCCCCCCTACCTCTTACTCCCTCGCTCGCTCCCTCCCTATCGGTCCCTCCCTCGCTCCCTCCCTGTCGCTCATTCCCTCGCTCTCAAGATCAACATCTAGAGTTGGTGAGGACTTTAATTTAGCTTTGCAGCTAAGGAAGTTCACTTTTAATGAACTTAAATGTGCCACAAGAAACTTCGCCACAAGAAACTTCAAAACCAGAAAGCCTTCTAGAAGAGGGAGGATTGTCCGTGTTTCAAATGTTGGATTGAAGAAAGTGGAACTGCTCCTGTGAAACCTGGTTTAGATAACTTTGAAGGTTCTTGCTTCTTCTCCATATCTTTCTTTGTTTTTTTTTCATCGTTTCCAAGCTTCCACTCTTGTTCACCATCATTTTTTATTAGAGAAAAGTGAACATGCTTTGTGTTGAATTCTTCTTCTGCTCTTCTATATTTCAAAATTTTCCAACTTGCTCGTTGATTTGTGAAATACTGATTTGTACTGAAATTCCCTTATTTTGCTCGATTTGAATGATGTGTACTGAAATGTTGCTTGATAATGGAGGCATTAATTTGATGTCCCGTGTTAATTCAAATTTGATGCTTCACTCTTCAAAGAAAAATCATAAATTCATGGGTTTGTGGCAGTTTTTTCAATGGCTTCCCCCACTTTTGTAAGAGAGTTTTCAATGGGAGGTGGTTTTGCTTGAATTTATTTTTGTAAGAGCTTCGACGACTTATGTACGTGCATGTAATCTTTGCATTCCTTGCATCAGCGGTGGGAATGGTTGGTGTTTCTGCTTGCAAATCGAACACAATGCCAAACATGGATAACACAATCATTTTGCTAGAAACAATTAACCCAAAGCTGTTTTCCCAAAGCTGTTTTTACACAGCTACACTAAACAAACAGCAGCGCAGCTCCAGCTGAAAAGCTGAAAAGCTGCAGCTGCGCCAAACAGATACACAGCTGCACTAAACAAACAGCCAGCTTTCACGCATCAGCTTCCTGGGGTAGCGCAGCTCCAGCTGAAAAGCTGAGAAGCTGCAGTTGCGCCAAACAAAACCTAAATAACTCATTTTGATATCTCTTTTCAAGTAACTTTAAGCCCAACTTATCTCAGGGTTTAAACAAAATAAAAAGATATGCTCCCTCGATGATGAGCCTGAGCCTAAGCTTAAATGCACATGCTCAAATTTATATCTCATTGACTAAATAAAAATAAATTTCATTCAAATAAATTTAAGCATCCTTAAATCTCTAATCATAATTAAGCATTTTATATGCTTCTTCTATTGAGTTAAATCTAAATTAAAATAGGTTTAAATTTTATTAAAAACAATTCAACCATATTTTATATAACAATCAAGCTTAAATTCTTCTAAAATAAATTAACTTAAATTTATTTAATATTAGAATGATATGATGTATGTCCAAAAAATGCTGATACAACAGAGATCGGGCGGTAGTCTCATTCGGTGGGCCACCCCACCCGATTAATTGGGCACATCGTCAAATAGCCCCAACAACGAAAATATGTCCGTGAAGATAGCAAAAACCGGTAACTCCCCGGAACATAAAAATCATAAACTCTAGGGAGCTTAATAACTTATAACTCTCAATATTAAACAAAAATATACATTTAAATTGTTTTTTCAACTGATCATAATTTCCAACACTTAGTTTCTTTACTAATTAAATAATTAAATTTTTAATTAAGGCATAAACTCGTGGTCTCCTTCACTTTTCTAAATTCATGAGGCTGAGCTAGGCTTAATTTTTCACAGCTTTTGTGGCATGTTGTAATGGACCGCGGTAGAAGTCCCAATAAATTCATGAGGCTGCATGAGTGATTGGTTCCGCCTCCAGCCGGACTCGACCTTCTTCTCCGGCTGAGGAATGGATGTTGTCGGCGGAACTACGGCGGTTCCAGAGCAGCAGCAGCTGGCGCCGCCTCCCCCAAAGGCAGAGCGGCTGAACTCCGCAGTACAACAGCAGCTTAATCTCGAGTCCGTAAAGTCCCGTGCCCTAGGTCTCAGTAAGGCCATCTCCCGAATCCTCGAGGACTTAAACGCCATCGCTCTTACCAACGCTACTCCGAAATGGTAATTTTGGCGCCTACTCTTAACAGGTCTCGCAAATACGTAATTTTGTTGCACCTTTTTTACTTGATCTGATTCTCTATTTGCTCTTTCTAGGGTTCTTTTCATCCCAAGAACCATTTTCTATTATGCTAGTATTTAGCGATTAAATTATATAAAGTTTACGTTTTTTTTTCTTTTTCAGATTGGCAATCCAACGAATAGCTATAGCGTGTTAGATATATTATTTATTTAGGATACTATGTGGTTTTTATTAGGTTTTAACTTTTTTTGACTAGTTATTTATTTGGAGGAATTTAGAAATTGTAAATATGCAGAAAATGACGCTGATCTAAAATCTATAAACTTCTGACATACTTTTCATATGCGCAACTAATTCCAAAGTAAGTGAAGATTCATAAATTGATGAAAACCTTAAAAGGGAAGAAGTGCATGATCTGTAGAGCAAAAACTATTTATGCAATATGCAATTTTAAATAATTTGATAATAGTAATCACTAATCCATAGGGTTGGAATATTAGATATTGTAGAGATGAGACTTTTGGTCTATGATTATAAAAAAATGGGATGTGGCTAAAATCATAATTTATTGTTAGAGTACCGTGCCAAAAGAATATCTTGATGGTTTAATAGTAAATTTTATAAACTATATCTAAATAGATAATTTTATATTAATTTGAGCATGAGTGATAATAAGTTGTTTCTAATCAAATTAGGGGTATCAATTTGGGCCAACAGGTCGGGTTCGGGTCCGACCTGAATAGGGTCAACTCGAACCCGATCCGAATAATAAATATGTAAAAAACTTGGATATATACCCAACCTGAATCCGAGTTTGACTTGCTAACTCAAACCCGACCTGAAATTTTATGCTTATTTGGGTTATGTTTCTATTTTAGGGATCAACTCGAACCTGACCCGACTAATAAACGGGTCAAATTCTCTTATCGAACCCGTCTCAAAAGTTATGCGAGTCAACCGTCAAGTTTGAGTTGTGTAGGCACGTCGGGTCAATTTTTGACACCCCTAAATCAATTTGTGTACTAAAAAGTTAATCTTGAGATGGGTGTTTAGTAAAATTAGGAGGGATTGCTTGAAACAAGAATACCAGATATATAGTGGGACTTTAGAATAGTGCTTATTATATATAAGGTTATGGGAACTAAATTTAAGTGGTTTAGGCAAGTAAAATTCAGAACATAGGATAAAAAAAATGATATAATCATATATAAGTAATTTGAGAAATATAAATGTAAAAGAGATAAACAAAATGCAATATCTTTTAATTTGTGCAAAAGAACTCACTTAAATTAGAGAAAATATTAAGTAGGAATGGATAAGAAGGGAGATTTTATAATTTCTACCAAAATAGTTGGGATGGAGTCAATGATGATGAAATGAGATAATATTTTAACTTATAAAAGCATGGACATGACTCAACACGACATGGGAGTCAAGTTCACATTACTATACCGAGATGACCAGCCAACATAATTATAAAAGAAAGCATGATATGCCACACACATTTTTATATTTAATAAATTTTTAATGTAGAAGATATACTTTTGTACTATTCTCTATGGAAGACATGAGAGGATGAAGTATAACATCATAAAAAATTTTGATAGTTAAACAAATCAAACATGATTAATAATAAATGATATTTATCACACAAGCTTTCATTAAGTATTTTAAGTTATCATATATTTTGCCAATGTCAATATTACTTTCAAAATATTTAAAATTCTCCAAAAAAATAAATATCATTTTCATCCTCAAAATAGTTGAACAAACATGATTACATGATCATCACTAATTAGAGTAATTACACTTAATACTAGGGTTATCATCATTGGCAGCCTCCATGCCCTCTTCAATGACACTTTTACTTAAGGTATTGGCAACTTAAAGTATTCTACTATCATTTATTGTAGTTAATGTATTACTACCAACATCCCATACTTTAGTCTCCTCCTTAGTGTAATCTTGGCTTATCCTAGATAAATACAAATATTGTTATGTATAAATACTAACTTTTCAATTTGTTGATAAGTGAGATTGTTTCTCTTAAGTGAAATAATAAAAGAGTGTTTGCTCTTATTTCTTTTGGCAACAAGAATATATAACATGGTTGACCAACAATTTAAATGCTGAATTTTGTTGTCCTTGGAAACAAGCTTAATAAATCATCCACTAGGTCTTTCCATTCATAATGCATTTAAAAGCTATTGAGTTATGATCTATAGAAACAATATTGAATCCAAAGAAATTGAAGATCTTTAAATTAATCATTGATTTATCTTCAATATTTGAAAATTTTATCTGCAGATATTTGTTCCTTTCATTTGACATCTTTGTATTTTTATGTAGAGTAATGCGATTTAGAGCTTAGCCTAGGCAAGAATGACTATAGCACCTAATAAAGGGTGCATATAATAAATAATAGAGATTTTTACTCATCAACCATCTAAAACATTGAATATTGCATTTTAACCACCCAAACTTTAAATATAACATTTTAATTTTAACCACCCAAACCTTAAATATAACATTTTAACCACCCAAAACTTTAAATATTACATTTTAACCACCCAAAAATTTCACTCAAAGCCTTGATTAATGAGTAAAGAAGGGCGGTTGTATTGAAAAGGTGGTTAAAATGTTATATTTAAGGTTTTGGGCTGTTTATATGTAAAGAGTCCTAAATAGTATTACTAATTAGGAAATGAGTTGAAGTAAGAGCGATGGGAATTTACATATTATTTTAGATTTAGAGAGTAAGCTAACTGGTGAAGGGCAGTGTTGCTTTTATTCTATTTTTACACAAGAATGTCATATACGAACTAGAAAATGTGATTCTCATTATCTCTTTTTTTCACATGTCTAAATATAATTCATTTCACTTACTCTATAATAAAATCCCACATCATATACAATTTGGAATAAAGCTTGCTTATTTATATCATTTATTATTAAAATGTTATATATGGGTTCTGTAAAATACTAATGTAATTTATTTTATCCAACCATGGTTCATCTATTTTTTTTCCTTCACAAATTTCACCTTATTTATATCATTTTCACGATACATGCTTCACGTATCATTAATAATAATTTTTATTTTTGTTTTATTTTTTTGAACCCCCAATTTGACTATTTTTGATGCAAAATGAGTCTATGCTATATCCAACATTTTTAACTTCACAACTCTTGAAATTAATAGTTTTATTGAGTGATTCATGATAATAATCTTAATAAAGTTGACATCTATTATAGTGTTATTAATCAAATTGCATTCTTCATAAGTTATGTCATTAACATTCACATTCTTTAGAGCACAACTATTTTTCAATGCAAGATTGATTGTGTGAACAGTATAAAAGGTTCAGAAAATGTAATGATACTGAATATCAATTAGTGTTTCTGTAGCTATATGCACAAACACATTTTCATTGATTATTTAAACCCATTTATCTATACCTACACTCATAATTATTATTGTTTCTCTGATTGATAACATTGAACTTATCCTCATATGCTGCCTCACAGATGATGCTTTTCATAAACATAAGTAAATTTTGTGACGCTCATGAAATAAATGAGAGGCATTTCTGTTACTTCCGTGTTACAATCCCAAATTATGATAACTCTATTCTCATTCGAAGTCTTTTTTATAATTTATATCATTCTTTCGATATTTGTTCATTTTCTTAAGTAATGTTTTCTGCAAAAGATTATAACCAAGAGGAATATGTCACTAATTATGTTGCTGCCTGCATATGAGTTAGTATTAAAATAATAATATTTTTTTTTGCCAAATGAAATGAAAAGGCTGCTGGATAAAACACACTAGTAGTATTTTTATGTGAATTATTTCTAGTGTGCAAATTAAATGTTCTTTTAATAGAAATATAGATTGACACTGTCCTCTTTTTAAGTCATACTTTCATTATTAAAAAAGATTGCTTGATTATGAGCTATAATATGGGCATTACGCTTTGGAAAAGGAAGGAGAATTTTCTTAAAATTTGTTTTTCTCTTGCTCCACCTCAGAATTTTGTTTCTGAAAATTTTAAATTTATATAGATGTTCTTTAAGGTTGATTGAATGCTTGCCCCATGTTGTGGAAGTAAATGTGCTCTAACTCTAGATTATGTTCCTCTGAACGCTCTTAGGCAAAATTTGTATTAAAATTTCAAGTTTTTTCTTGCTCCAGTTGCTCATTTTTTTGCTAATTTTGTAACATATACCCACAAAACTTTATCTGATTTTCTTTGAGATATGCCCATAAAATTTTATCTGATTTTTCTATGAGATTATTTTCAGTCAAACTAATGCTCATCTTGAATGTCATCGTCCTATGATCTAATATAATAAAAATACTTAAGAAAATTATTTAGTCTATTTAAATTTTGCATTATAACATAAATTGACTGCATTCGAAGAAGTTGATCCATTCTAAAGGAAAATCATTAAATGATTTAATGAGATACCGAACTTAAAAATGGGCTAGATTAGTATAACTATTATACGATGAATATTATCTAAAAATATTTCATCCGCAATAAAACTTGATAATACTCTTTGCGAGGAAATTAATTCAGAAGAGCATAAAACTTCCAAATGACACCCATAAAAGATTATTCATTCAGTAAATTTTTTAAATGCCAAATGAACTAATTTGATTGACCAATAAGAGATTTTATCAAATGAGTTGCAAGAACAAGTCTTATCAAAGCAATTCTTAATTGCCAGCATATATTCTTTCTGGCACAAAACTAGCATGTGCTTCGAGTTATTGAGGTACAATGATATGCCTTTTCAGCTTTTTCTTTGTATCCCTTCTATGAAATGATTGTGACTTAGAGAAAAGATCGAGGCTCGGTTTTGAAGCGAGCTTATTGTATTTGTATCTTCAAAATGACATTGTTATCTTCAAAACTATTTGGTGTCCTCAACATCTTGGTTGACAGAGACGAGAAATGAATCGGGCTAGGGCGAGCAGCTGTGTTTTTTAGTTTTGATTTCAACCTATGACTCACGTGTCTCACCATATCCATGCCATGTTAGAGCGCAAATTTACCATAAAATATTATAACCTTGTATGTTATGTCAGTCAAGTGTTGGGGCATGGAATAATCATTTTCATGTACGACACCTGTCTGCTAGGGACGGACATTATTTGTAAGTGTATTTGCTGCATAGAATTTTAAACTTGGTATGGTTGCTTGTAGATATTTAGAGAAATTGAACTGCTAGTATGCTACATAGTTTTTACAGTTTATGGCTAAAGGTTCCTGGAAATTAATTATTTTCTTATTTTTTGGTATATATTTGTATATGTGTTCCATTTATATTCATTGTGCCATCCCAGATTGGTGGTATAAAGTGAACTCTAAAGAGAGAGTCATATGTTTAGCCATGTAAAATGACATGATGCAGACAGTTTTTCCCATGATATCTAATCATCTTAGATATTGGAATATATTTGTGTGACAGGCAAGATATACTAGGGCAATTTTCAATGGTAAATATGGAGCTTTTCAACGTTGTGGAGGAAATAAAGAAAGTCTCGAAGGCATTTGTTGTGCATCCAAAGAATGTGAATGGGGAGAATGCCCTGAGTATGTATCTTGTAACCCTTTGTTGGATTTAAAATTTAGGTTGTTGAACATTTCATCGATGTTTTTATTGGAAATGCACAAGTACGTAACGACAGTTATCTGATATTTTTGTATGCTTGTGGTTAGTGTTTTGTTCCATTAGGGCTAATTGTTTTTCTTATGAGGCTAGCTAGTTTCGCAAATGGTACAAAATCTTTAACCTGATTTCATTAACTAATGGATGCCTGCACAAAGCTGTTTTCACCGTCTAGAGTATTGTATTCCAATGCCATGACTCGTGTCATTTGACGGAATATAAGTTTTGCTAAAAATAATTCATTGTGCTGATTTGATTCAACAGGCCTTGTCGTTGAGTTTTTTCTTTCATCCTAACAATCTGATACTGATTCTATTCATTTTGCTTGAATTTTATTGTCGAACACCTATCCTTTAGGAACAGTACTTTGTCCTAAAGTTTTCTATTGCATCTTCAGGATTGCTGTTATATCTTTCTTTATTTCTTTTTTAAATGTTTCTTTAGCCAATTTGAATATTTTATTTCTTTCTGCAGAAGCAGTTATGATAAATTGATTTAATGGTAGTAATTTATTTTGGCTGTTTGCTTTTTTAAGTATTTCAGAGTTAGTGCAGCTCTGTACCCTTTTAATTTTCAAACTTCACGCACTCTCTAGGTTTGTTGCAAAACTTTGTTACTTTCTGATAGTTAACTGACACCTTATCCCTTGATAGGCATTTATAATTCACCTTCTTTAAATAAAGTATTATTCAAAAGTGAAAAGACTATTGTTTGCAGTTACTTACGTTTTGACTGAGTGTTAGGCTTATTTTAGTCTACCTTACTAGTTCTACATCCCCTGCCTACTTGTGCTGCTTAATACCATGTTTCTTTTAAGAGAAGTTTATATACTTAGCCCGCCATTCTTATGTATTTGCATATCTAACACCTAAACTCTAGTATTTACGCTCAAAACACTCAATCTTTAACATCACATCGAAAATACCTTTTTTACTAAATTTTTAAAAGTTAAATACATGTTTTTATGCTTACATTTGTAGCATCAAGCTATTATAAATGTAAATATCAAACTTTATGACACAGGTGCGGAGGGGTAGCCGCGACTTTCCACAGCGTAATAGGGAGCCGCTGCCTCTCCCGCAATTTCGTTTGTTTGGACCGAACCAGTCATGACCCAGGAAGGCCGACCAACTCTTCCACGTGGGTTTGGTGCCTCCTTTCTATAGGGAGATCCAATCCTAGTTATCTAGGAATTATTTATATGATTCCTTGATTTGGTGTTTGTAGTTTTTGTGTGTTTTGTATCGGGACAGCTGCTGGCGTCTCTTCTTCCCTTCGATGGTTGTATCCTCGGGTTATAGGTAGTGCTTTGAATGCATCTTGGTTTCCAGGCGGTGATTATCGTCCCTATCATTTTCTGCATCTCTCTCACTTCACTACCACACCTTCCTCCTCGCTGCAGCCGCCCCGATAGTAGTCATGTTGCTATTCTTCCTGCAGTTTCTCGCTGTCCAGCCATCCTTTTAGTTGCCGTAGCCCCAAGAAAGTTCTCCTTTGGCTGCCCCGCAGCCCCACGCCTTCATCGCTGTTGTCACCTTCATTCCCGTTTGCTGCCACCACCCTGAAACATTTGTTCCAGCCATCTGGCCAACTTGCTGTCATTGGCGCAACGCCTCCCATTTGCTGTTTTCCTGTGTCCAACCGCCCCAAACAGCAAATTGTTGTTGCTAGGACTGCTGTCCCTTGCTTCCTGCTATTCCAACCACTCATAATCTCTGATGCTTATCATCCACAACCCTACAACCCTTTACTTGCCTCACCGCCACCTCGCCAAGCTCCTAACAATCACCACCATCGCCCAGAATTTTTCCTAACATGAGTTCACATGTTTTGTTTTGTATTTTCCCTTTTAAGTGTGTTTTATTGTAACTATCTGTTTGATTACAGTAATAATATTTATTTTTTCTATTGTGGTTTGGGTTAACTACAATATCATTTGGTTTCAGAGGTAGCCTAACCTCAATCCTATCCTAGGTTTTTTAGTATCCCCCTATACCCAACCCCACATCCACTATACCCAACCCCACATCCACACAAAATTCTCCCATATGCTGATTTTTCAATGCGGGCACATAAATATTTTTTCCCATCATACATCATCCCTATTTATTCTCTTCCATCTACCCAAACCCTAATCATGTCACCGAGGAGACAATAGTGGGATGCCGACCTGAAGTTACTATGGAAGAGATACTACAACAACTTCGTTGAGTGCTACAACGGCTCAATGAAATTGAGGAAAGGAAACCATCCAGACGGGTCATCCATAACCACAACGGTGACTTGCTAGATCGAAATAATGTAGTGAATCTGTTCTTCCATACGGATGCCAGAGATTGAGAACATCTACCCCAAAGACATGACTTGAAATATCTGAGAAACCAAAATTTTTTAAGGTAAATTTGTCTAATTTCGATGACTACATGCATCTATATGATTTCATCAAGTGACTCTGGACCTTGTAACGTGTCTTTGAGTATTGCGGCGTTCAACCAAACAGAATGGTGAAACTAGCCTCCAGCTAGTTTAGGAAGAGTTTATCTCTGAGATGGGCGAACTTGAAGATTCTTTGATAGCAAGAAGTAAAGAGTAAAATTACTACATAGTTTAAGATGAAATGGGAGATGCAGTGTCAAGACATATCAACTCACTACAAATCGGATATTCAGGCCCCAACTTCAAAAGTATAGAGATCACATCATTGGGTGACCATCACTTCTTATTGACAGGGTTTAATTCTTAGATCATACAGCCAGAGTTTTCTTAATGGAAAACCCAAGTTGACCACACCTGAGGAGGAACCGATTCAGAGTAAAGAACATGTGGAAAAAACCAATATTCCTAAAGCTGACCAAGCCAAAAAGTGTTTCAAGTGCCATGAATTTAGGCATATTGAATCAGATTACACTACCAGGGGAATCATCTATTTCATAGAGCAGGGCATTGTTGAAAGTATGGGTAATGACATAATAGACACTGGAGACGGTGAGGATACAAAAGAGGAGTATCAGCTTCCAACTGATAAGTAAAAAGATGCACATAATTCTAGCTGACCCATAAGAGGCTCCAACTGATTTAACAGTGATTGTTCAAGACAGTCTTGAGTTTGAGGATATTGAATCAGATTATACTACCAGGGGAATCAGATTACACTACCAGGGGAATCATCTATTTCATCTATTTGGGCATATTGAATCAGATTACACTACCAGGGGAATCATCTATTTCATAGAGCAGGACATTGTTGAAAGTATGGGTAATGACATAATAGACACTGAAGACGGTGAGGATACAAAAGAGGAGTACCAGCTTCCAACTGATAAGGAAAAAGATGCACATAATTCTAGCTGACCCATAAGAGGCTCCAACTGATTTAACAGTGATTGTTCAAGACAGTCTTGAGTTTGAGGAATCGACACTAGAGGCACGATTACTCCAAATAAGAGAAATACAGACTTTTCAGATCTATAGATTCCTTCCGAAGTTGTCACTACTTAGGGAGGTTCAACATGTCAGCAATGGGTCCCATTTTTGCCACACATGGAAGGTTATATGAAGTTGTTTGGATATTAGATTTAGTTCATCAGTGTATCCATCCTCAGATGTTCAGACAAGAGGGATGAACCACAACTTTGAAAATTATCTTAGGAGCTTGATGGGGAAGTAAATTCTTCAATGGGATCCGGTTCCTATTAGAGAAGAAGATGTATCTTGGTTCGTTGTTAGTGAGTGTTGACTTCATTTTTAGTGAGGTCTTAGTCTCCTACTCCTAGAAAGGATCTACCTTTACTTTATGAGTTCTTTGTTGACCATTCTAGCGGACTAGTAATGGAGCCCACCTCCCGTAGAACTTCAAACCACTTCTTGACTCATTTTTATGAAGAACTCGCTTGAGTGGTTCCAAGCATTCAACTTCTAGTTGTAAGGGCTAAGAATTAATATGTAGAAGGCCCGAAAATGAGTTCCTACAGGATCAACCGGCCTTAGGTGAACCATCTGTGACTCAGCAACGCGCTCGCTACTCCACGCACGAAGTTGACACATTTTTGGCTTGACCATCGACAAACTTGTCTGGACGACCCTCGATGACGAAATGGACGACGCCAGTACATCTGGAACATCGACTTTAGCTAGAAGGGGCGCCCATATTGCTAGGGTTACGAGCACACACAAATGACACGAAAATCGATGCATATATTTTTTTAGTGAGCGTGAGTTCGGGCTCAACCCAGGTTCAACTCGGATTCAATTCGGGCTGAACAAGGGTTAAACAATTTTGAATTTTAAATTTTCAAATTTCAAATGAGTCATTGATCTTACTTTAATTGAGAGTTATGACATTCCAATTAAACCGACAATTAATTACCCGCCCATCGTCGTATAACGGTCATTCTGGAAGTGCGATACACAAAATAGCTCGCCTCGCCTCTCTCCATCCGACGCCTGCTCTCCTCCTCGTTCGACCCTCTCCCGCTCGCTCTCAGGCATTCTTGATTCTGTCCCTTTCCCAGCAGAAAGCTTCCCCTTTCTTGTCAACACTCCTGCTCGCCCCCTTGCTCACCTATTCCTCACGCAGAAATAAACCCGCTCGACGCAGAAAGAAATACGGGCCGCGTCTGCTATTCTCTGCATCGAAGCCCTAGCATCCGGCTATCCTGCTCGCCTCACTCGCTCCTCCGCTCGCCCGCTCTTTCTTTGCGACTCGATCGCAGCTCTATCAGAAGCCCCTATCGCTCAACTGCTCTATACCGAAGCCCTCTATTCTCCGACTCGAAACCTGCTGCGCCTTCCCCTCTGCGAACCAAAGCCTCGCCTGCTTCCCTCTCACGCTCAACCGAACACCGCTCGACACCCTTGCCTCCGCCTCCTCTCTTCCTTGCATCGAGCCCGCTTACCTGCTTCGCTCTCCCTTACACCGAAACCATCGTCCCTCTCTTGACAGACCCTCTCTGCACCCTCAGCGTCTCTGCGACGAAGTCCCCGCTCTTGATAGAACACCTTCGAGCTCCTTCCCCCCGATCGAAAGTCTCTGTCGAACGTCTGCAACACTCCGGTGCGCAAGTTTGCACTCCTCGATCTTAATTTATATTTCGATTTTTTCTTACCGCTCAACACAAACCATTTATCGAAGCATTTGGTTCCAACAATTCTTAAACTTTCTGAGCTTATTGCATGATACTACTTATGTTCGCATATCTAACACCTGAACTACAATCTTTGTTGCGCACTTATATTATCTTACTTATATTTGAAAGTTATGTGCAAGCCTTTATGCAAATTTCATCCATGGAATGATTTCATTTGGAAAACATATGAAATTCTTTTATGTCATTTTTCTTGAAACTTCTATACAAACCTTGATGGAAATATAAAGTTTTGATGCTCTCATCTGGAACAGTTTGAAAGTTTTAGAATTTGTTATTGTGAAAATAAAAAAAAAAAAATTGAGCAGTCTTATTTGTGAAGATTTTGCAAACTTACAAACACTGTTTTTTAGGCTTACATGATGTTATTTGGAGCACAATTAAGAGTCGTTTGCGGCTTGTAAAATTGTTGTTTGGAGCTCAATTATGTGTTGATTCAGAAACTTTAAAACACTGATTTGGGGCATTTTGTGGGCTGGTTTTGGAGCTGTTTTTGCACCTCTTTGTCACTTTTTTGGCACTGATTTTTGGGTGCTTTTGTGGATTGTTTTTGGGGAAGTTCTTGCTATGTTTTAGAACTGTTTCAAGCTGATTTTGTGCACTATTTTGGAGCCACTTTAGGTGCCGATTTGAGCTGATTTTGTGCATTGCTTTGGAGCCATTGTAGGTGCCAGTTTGAGTTGATTTTGGTCACTGTTTTTTAGCCACTTTAGGTGCCGGTTGAGCTGATTTTGTACACTGTTTTGGAGCCACTGTAGGTGCCGGTTTGGGCTGATTTTGATCACTTTTTTGGAGCCACTTTAGGTGCCGATGTGGGCTGATTTTGTGTACTGTTTTGGAGCCACTTTAGGTGTCGATTTGGGCTGATTTTGTGCACTATGTTGGAGTCACTTTAGGTGCCGGTTTGGGCTGATTTTGTGCAATGTTTTGGAGCCACTGTAGGTGCCGATTTGGGCTGATTTTGTGCATTGCTTTGGAGCCGCTGTAAGTGACGATTTGGGTTGATTTAGTATCTGTCTTTATAAACTTATTGAAGTTAACTCTTATGTCAAAGATGAAATTGAACTTGAATGTCAAATATGTGAATGCATTAGCGTACATATTCAATACACTTGACCTTGACTATTGACATACTTGACATACTTTTCATTATGCACATCGACACATTTTTATGTGTAATCTTTCATTGAATGTAATTCTCATACCAACTTTTCGGTGTCTTTGTGACGCAAACTCGGACGTGGTCGAAGCGTTAAATGATTGGGGGAGCTACCCCTGGAATAGACCAAAGGGACGACATCAAACTTCGCGCTGTTGGGATCTCTAAAAAAAATCAATTTTAAAAAATTCAACAACATTTTCAAATCAAAATCATTTTTCAAAATTAAACAATATTTTCAAAAAAAAAAAAACATAACACGTCCTTTTGAATTTACGAGAATCCCTCGGAGGAGGTAACCCACGGTTGCTAATGAGATCTTCTTGGTTTAAATTGGTTTCACAACTCATTTTGACTAAGTAAATTAAAAAAAAAATAGTGATACCGGAACAAGGGAACCGTGTGATCCTAACTGGTGTCACTCTAATCAAAGTAACCCCCCTATAATGACAACAAAACCAAACCCTTGAAACATACATGGTACAACTTTTTGAACCTTAGAATTTAGGACTGCTACTTCAACGAGGAGCGTGGAGCAATTTCGTGGGCAGCACAACGAAGAATTCAAATCGAGCAGCAAGAGGATCTTCTTCAACAATCTCTTTCCTACACTGAATATCAACCCTTGGGACTTCGAGGTAGCTCGCCCAGCGCGATGTAAATACTCACATCTTCTTTAAGCTTCTGTACAATCATGTTGTGCAGCGCAAGTCCTAACTCGCCTTAGGTTCTGAGGTTGTCTTGTGACACGACGTGAACCCTCTTGTCTCTGTGGGCTATTTGTATAATTAGATATTATGCAAATGTAAGTCCGAAATAATAAAATTGGCAGGATTAAACACCTAAATGATATCATTTCTAAAACTCAGCCATACATTAGGATAGTTTTGGAAGTCGCTGATGTTTCTCCTCAGGATCTATAACATCCCCTACCATTTACTTCCTTTGGACTCTTAAAATAAATGTTTCTACTTGAGCTACTCCCACTTATTTTTCCACGTCCTACCGTGAAAACCTAAAATTTGAATTCTTAAAGACTAGTATCTCTGATCATTATCGAGAGTTTTCTCAAGTGACTCCGTCATTTGGGAGTTTTCTCAAGTGACTCCGTCATTTGGGATATAATTAACTATAGGGGCTTGTTTGGGAGTTTTCTCAAGTGACTCCGTCATTTGGGATATAATTAACTATAGGGGCTTGCCTCTATAGGAAATTTGGAATCCAGGTAAAATAAACCTTATTTAATATTTATATTAAATAAGAGAACTTGTCGGTCACAAATCTCTTAATTTGCAGGATTGAGTCTGTCGTCGAGATATAAACTTACCTTTTGAAAATGTGTAGTATTCACGTTATCAGGTACAATTATGCAAACTATTGGACGAATGAGATCCATTGGGTACAATTATGCAAACTATTGAACGAATGAGATCCATTTGGTCTCATTTTTAAAAAATTAAAACACGCTACTTTTAAAACCAAAAATATGTACCTCTTATATTTAAATTAAATTTAAAAATTATTTTTCAAATCTTCAAAAAGTTGACCGACTGTGAGAGTAGTGCAACATGCTACAAATTTCATCCCACAGTTGATTTCTTCTAACATACTTTTTTATTAGCTATTTTCTGCTGAGTACGAGAAGTGGAAGAAGAAAGTTTTACACTTAAGAGCTCAAGTTATATTGAGGGAACCTACATCTATATGCAAATCCAGCTCAGAATGTGCCAAAAGAAGAGTGATATTTATTCCATTAAGATGTGCTGTGAAATTTCAACACCTACATAACTGATTTGTTAGGAGATTATGTCATTTATGGTATCTTCATCTCGACTGACTTGACTATTATGTGGAAACAAAGATTTCGACAAATACGCTAGTGTGGAGGGGTAACTGCGACCTTACGCTTCGTAACAGGGAGCTGCTCCCTCTATTGCAATTTCATTCATCTTGACCGAACCGGTATAGACCCGGGAGGGCCGATCGACTCCTTTATATAAGTGGATCCAATTCTAGTTATATGGGCTTACTCATGTGATTTCTTGATTTGAAGTTTGTAGTTTTTGTGTGTTTATATTAGGACAACCGCCGACATCTCTTCTTCCTTCCGAGGGTTGTATTCTAGGGTTCTAGGTGGTGCTGTTGTTGTATTTTGGTTTTCTGGTGGTGATTATCCTTCCTATCTTTTTCTGCATCCCTCTCAATTCGCTACCACAGTTTCCTCCTCTCTGAAGCTGCCTTGATAACAAGTTCTTTTGCTGTTCTTTTTGCAGTTCCTCGCCATGCAATCATCCTCCTCGTTGCCGCAGCTCCAGGACAGTCTTTTTTGGCTGTCCCACAGCTCCACGCCTTCACTGTCACTGCCGCCGCTCAGAAATAGCAGGTCCTTGTTGTTTTCTACTGTTCCAGCCCCCGGTCAGCTGTTCCCCTCATTCCATCTTGCTGCCATTGCCGCAACACCTCCCCTTTGTTATTTTTCTGCTGTCCAACCATCCAAAACAGTAGACTGCCATCGTTTGGACCGTCGTCCCTTGCTATGCTGCTGTTCCAACCACCAATAATCACTGCTGCTCCTTATTCACAGCCCGGAAACTTCTTCCCTATCTTGCCTCCACCTCGCCAAGCTCCCCTAACCGTCATCACGATCACCCAAGACCTGCCCTAATGTGAGTTTGCGTGTCGTTTGTGATGTATTTTCTCTTTCAAGTGCGTTTGATTGTGACAACCTATTTGCTTTCAGTAATAATATTTGCTTTTTCTATTATGATTTGGGTCAACTTCGGTGTCACTTTAGGTGTTAGACAATTCATAAAAAAAATTTGTGGTACCCAAGTAAATTTTCCTTCTCTTATACAATTTTGATACCCTTCTTGTTTGCTCGAATGGCTAGTTTCAGGATGAATGCCCACAAATTATGCAAGTGTAGTTGATCCTGACCTCAAGAAAAATTTTTCCTGCAGTACTTCCTATCATGTTATCATCAAAGTTATTGCCAGAAATGGAAGATGAAGATAATGCCAAAAGGGAGCAGTTATTGTCGGGGATGGGAAATCTTCCAATTCCAGCACAAATGGAGAAATTGAAGGCATGTGATTTAAATTACCTTCATTCTAACATGTCTTGAATTACTGAATCTTCAGTTTTATCATCATTACCGTGCAAAATTTTACAGGCTAGAATTGATATGATTAGTGCAGCATGTGAAACTGCTGAAAAAGTCATATCTGATGCTCGGAAAGCTTATGGACTAGGTTCTCGTCAAGGGCCTACCTTAGTCCCTACATTGGACAAAGTGCAAGCAGCCAAAATTCAAGAACAGGAAAAGCAGTTAAGAGCTGCTGTAAATTCTGGCGAAGGTATTACTTTTAGTTATATCCACCTCGCCATTATAGGATACCTCAAGTGACCTTGTTGCTTTCCATCCATTAGCTTACCTTTTCTCCTTTCTGTAAACACTAATAAGGTACGTGTTCTGAGGCTATTGTGAACAACTTTCTCAGGACTTAGAATAACTGGGGATCAAAGGCATCTTCCATCTTCTCTTCCTCCTCACTTGGTCGATGTGCTCGCCTCCGGTGATGGTGCACATAATTTTGGTGAAGCTGGTATTGATTTCCATTTTATGCTAGTTGCAGCTTTTGTTCTTCACCTTTCAGATTTAGCAATTTTTAATGTTTCTTATGCTACTAAAGAATTTTTTGAAGGAATCAATTCTTTCCCATTTAAGAGTTGGGCTTCTATAGAGCCATACAAAATCTTATACAAATAACCCATTGACTTCTATAATTTCTATTTACAATTAGACCCTCAACAATAAGATACAAATCTCAACACCCCCACTCAAGATGGGCAATAGATATCCACTAAGCCCATCTTGTTACATAATCTAGACAAATATATTGAACTAAGTCCTTTAGTGAGGCAGTCAGCCACTTGCTCTTCACTGGTTACATGTTTTTTTGTGAAGAATCTATCAATTTCCTCATGTTTGGTTCTACGTGTTGCATTGGGTTGTTGGCAATGTTGAGTTCCTTAATCCACCTTGAGCTCGACCAACAAGGCTTTTAGCCACATCATCTCGACAACTCCTAAGGCCATGGACTTGTACTTTGCCTCTGTTGTTGACCTTGCTACTACAAATTGTTTCTTGCTCTTTCAAGAGACCATATTGCTTATACAGTATCTTGAGGTGGATCTTCTGTCATCTGCACAGCTTGCCCAGTTAGCATTATAATAGCCCTCAATGTCTACATGTGAAGATCAACCCCTTCCCTGGTGTATTTTTTAGGTATCTCAGAATCTGATGCACTGTGTCTGCATGACCCTTCCTAGGATCATGCATATTACGACTCACAACGCTTACTGCAAATGAGATGTCCGAACGCGTGTGACTCAGATAGATGAGACGACCTACCGACCTCTGGTACCTCTCTTAATCAACTTACTTTCCTGCCTTTGCACTCAACTTTTCCTCCTGATCAATTGGTGAAACTGCAGGCTTGCATTTCAACATATCTATCTTTCTGAGCAAATCTAACACATACTTCTTCTGAGATAGGACAATCCCCTCTGCTCCACGAGCCACCTCAATTCCAAGGAAATATTTAAGCTATCCCAAGTTCTTCATCTCAAACTCTATGTCTAATCTTGTCTTTAGCAACACAATCTCTCTCTTTCTTATCATCACCAGTGAATATCATATCATCCATATACATGGCAAGTATCGTGGTGTGACCACTATTTCGTCGAACAAACATTATGTGGTCGACATTAATCTGCTGGTAGCCCATGCCTACCATTGCTCTCTGAACCTGTCAAACCAAGCTCGAAGAGACTATTTCAAACCGTATAGTGACTTCCTCAGTCTACATATCTTGCCTACTGTTTGGTTTGTACCGAATTCTAGGAGTATCTCCATATACACCTCGTCCAACAGATTCCCTATGAAGAAACACATTCTTCACATCCAGTTAGTGTAACTTCTATCCACCATTCACAGCCAGAGAGATGAGAGTCTTGACCATGCTCATCTTTGCCACTGGTGCAAATGTCTTTTCATAATCGATGTCATATGTCTTACTATACTCTTTAGCCACTAATCGTGCTTTATAGCAATCAATTTTTTTTCTTTTGAGGTCCGCTTCACTGTGAAAGCCCATTTGTACCCGAATGTTTTTTTTTTTCGTGTTGGTAGCAACGCGAGCCCTCACGTCTTATTCTTCTTGAGAGCACCAAGTTCCTACAACATGGTAGTCTTTCACTTTTGATCTTCCTTAGCTACCTACCAACACTTTGGTACAGAGGCAGGGCCCAATGATGCAAGGTGAGATGTTAGAATAATAAATAAATTTCGCAATTTCAAGTTCTCACCCAAAACGATCACGAGGTTGTCATGCATTGCTGCGGGAGATCCTCCTTAACGTTGGGGGGTTAGGAATGGACGGAGGAGGAATAATATCACATGGAATTTTTGAATCAAAGGTGGATGGTGTAGGTGTCTCAAGAGTTGGAGAAGACCGGGACAAGGGACTTGTTGGCACAACTGACTCTCTTCCCTCAATTTGCTTCTTCATTTGTGTATACCCTTAGCTCACCATCAGCCTGAATCACACCACCTCTGGGTTCAATTTCCTCAATTTCCGTCACCTTAGTTGATTCATCCCACATCACAGGACATGTCATTGATCCCATTTGCACCACTCCATCACCACTACTACTCACTATCTTGCCTCATATCTTCAATGTCCGTTAAGTCACCGAAGGGTGAATTCACCTCTAGAGTGTAGTATGGTTCAAACTCTCTGAATGAAACATCCAAACTCACAAAGAGTCTCTTATCAATCAAGCTTCAAAAGACGACCCTTTTGAGTAGTAGAATAACCATCGAAAACATATTTCACAGCTTTGGGATCCAATTTCTCTACACATAGTTTACTATCTTTCACAAAATATAAACATTCAAATACCTTCAATGGAAGGATCTCACTGTTGTCTCCTTTCAATTTATGATAAGGAGACTTTACACCAGCATGCTTGAAGACATCCTGTTAATCAATTGAGCGACTGTCAATATTGCTTGCCCCATAAGTGCTGTGGGACATTCATTGCCATCATCATGCTCCTGACTACCTCTAGAAGATGTCGATTCTTCTCTGCTAATCCATTCTATGCTGGTGTGTTTGGGAATGCAGTTTGATGTTGTATCCCTTGGGTTGACAATTACTCCTCAATCGCCTTATTGGTATTCTCTGTTCCATTATCAAAGATTAATACCTTCACTGCTGCATCGTATTGAGTCTGAATCGCTCTGTGAAATACTTTAGAGTAAGTACATCACTTTTATTCCTCATTAGATATAGTCAAGTAAAACGAGAACAACAATCAATAAACGTCATAAAATATCTACAACCATTCATCAAAGTTGTGGAACAAGGTCCCCATACATCCGAATGTATCAAATCAAACATGTCAGAGCTCTTATTCTCATAACTGACATAAGAGCTTCTAGTAAGTTTGCCAAGCTCACAAGCATCACACACCAGTTTCATCTTGTTTGCCTTTTCATACAACGATGAGTATAAATGACTCAATAGACTGAATGAAGAGTGTACATGCGTATGTGATGTAACAACAATACATTCTCCACACACTTTTCAGATCTTCCTGCTCCAGCATTCTCATCCATGGATGCCAATACTGAGTTTATCCCTTCTCTATCTAAGTACCAGAGTTCACTATGTCATGTGCCAATCTCAAGTCTTCGGGCAGTCTCCTCTTGAAATATCACCTTAAAAATATCAATGAAACAACACAAATTAGTTGAAGAATATAGGCACTAATGGATAAAAGGTTCACGGAAAATGAGGGAGCATGCAAAGCATTAGACAAAATCATAGAACCAATTCCCCTCACTGTACCGTCACCATTCATAAGTTGTGTTGTACCATTAGCAGTTTGAATGCTCTATGGAACTGCTAGATGAGTACAGGAAGAGAACTCCCTATCGTTACCTATCACATGTCGAGATGCAACAGAATCTACTATCCATTTTGGTGTTCTTGTGGTTGATATAGAGGCAAGAGCATTTCTATCATGAGTACCTTTGGACGAGTGAGCATAAGTAGTAGTGTTGCCATTGAATGACGATGAGGTGGATGCATCTTTAGTCATACCACCTGCCGCTCTCCGCTTTCTCATCATCATCTCAAGGAGCTCATGATCCTTATCAGTAAAGACCACACCTATCTCTCTCTCGTCCTTTGCTACCATCAAATTTTTCCGGTAGTCCCATCTTCCACCTCTTTGGCCTCCATGACTACGGCCACGAGCTCTAGACTGTCCACATCCACCTGTCTCTCTCTCTCATTAGGTGGCTTTGAATATGTCTTGCTCAGATGTCCGACTTCTCCACAGTTTTAGCACCTGCGGGCCTTCCCCTGAGCACCTATCTTACCTGAGATCGAGGCAGCCAAAGTTGCTTGCATTCTTGGAAGTCCACTTGACTGAGCTGGAACACTTGCTGAGCTAGTGACTTGCGTCGAGATACTAGCTCTCTATATGAGCCTTGCCAAGACCGTCAGAACTTCAGATTTTTTTCCCCAGAAGCTCTAATTCTTTACCTTCTGCATTATTTTCATCTGTTGACATTCTCAATTTTAACTCTTCTTTGCTTTGTATGCCCAATTTGAAACCCTTGCTAGTTTCTGTTCCACTCAGATCCCCTCCAGTTTCGTCCCTCGGGCGACATAGAGAAGTCGAAACTTTCTCCTATTTCTCGACTGCGACGACAACTTAAGGCGTTGCCCTTTGCATGTTCCTACACATGCAAGTGTCTGCAGTTCCCCTTTGCTTCGTAGCAAACAAAAGAATCACTATATACGAAGACCTTCGACACTACAGTTTCTTCTCTTCTCTATGCGCCATAACAGGAACCTCAGGAACATAGTTCATCTCCTCTTCTCTCGCATGGCAACAACGGCTAATACGGGATCAAAGCACACTAAAACCTTCGAACACAACACAAAGGCCCAGAAACTCCCTTCTTCCTCTGCTCCCCGTCTGCTCCTGGGCTCGGGAAATACAAGGATAGCTCCTACGCTCGAAGCCGAAGCTAGCTCTAGTCTCCTTCCCGTTGCTTAATCTTGCATGTAGCTACAAAGTTGTTCGAATCTCTATTTCCTCTCGCAATTAATCCCGCACGTAGAACTGTACCCTCCTTGCGTCTGAAACCTCGCCAGAATCGACTTCCTCCCAGTTTCTGTTGCACACTGCCTTCGTATGCATGGCCTAACACAATGTTGCTCCTCCAAGCTCGAACTGATAAGTCATAACTCACACACAAGTGCTAGGTTTTGGCTCTGATACCATAAAGATTTTTTTGAAGGAATCAATTCTTTTCCATTCAAATGTTGGGCTTCTATATAGCCATACAAGCACAAGGTAATGTTATGGTCAATTACACTGAAAATGTTAGTCTTTTTTCTATATTCCTCATTCAAAGGATGCCCGTTGGTGCACATGATTTTGGTTATTTTATTGGTTGCCATTTTATGTTACTTGTAACCTTCTTGTAACCTTTATGGCTTAGCAATCTTAATGATTGTCT